TTTACATAATATCCAGCAGGTTAATATTCATACTGAATTACCTAGAGACTGACTTATATTGATCCATCAATTAGGGTGTATTTTGTGACTAAGTATAAATAGTAAGAAATATTTGTAACAGCAATGGTGACACACTGTATCAATGACCCCTGAACGCTCACTTTGTTCTAAATGCTCCTCTCCTCTACTCCTTACAATAACTAAATGAGAGCAAATCATTATCCCTCTTTTTCCCCTAAGACAAACTAACTCAGAGAAGTGAGAAAAAAAAAGAGAACAAAACTAAACATGATATGCATAAATAATAATGGCAACCAACAATCAAAGTCTACATATTGAAAGAGTGAGGCAAATGTTTAACATCCAGAGTTCTTGACAACTTTCTGAAATAAGTAGGAAAAAAAGTGTTGGATCTTAATTTGTGTCTGAACTCCCCGAGGAAGAAACTGTCTCACTCACCAGCATCTAACTTGCTGACTGTCCCTCAATTATCATTAATCCTCAGTAAGTGTTTTGTTAGTTTAATATGTCCTTTATCCTAAAGGATATTTACTTCTCTTTCAAAAGAGTTTGATACAGTACTTTGCACTGTTACCCTTCTTAGAAGACAATAAACACTTAGATCCGCAGACTACACCCAAATAAAACAGGGTAAAGCTGTCTCAAGAGAGACTCTTAAACCAGAGAGCACTTAACACACTGGCATATGTTCATACTAGCAAAATTATGATGTACATTGAACAAAGGTTACATAAAAATGGAAAGATACTGAAAGTCAGATTATTCCTCAGGTCAACCAGACTGTATCTGATACACACTGAAGATTCAAAGATCCTCTTAGGCCATCCTGTATTACTACAGTTAGATTAATCCAATTTCATTTTAGTCTGGTAAATAAGAACAGTCTTTCCCAACAAAGGGAATTTAAAGGTCTAACAAAAAGTCTCAATGCTTTCTTATTTTTTAGTCTTAGTACATGTTTCTAAATGATGTAAATAACAGTGTTTAACATAATCACAATCAAATTTAGTATTTCCTAAATACTAAACTAAATAACTAGTACAACTCCTAGTTAATGTACAGTTTAGACACTCCTGACTGCCAAATAATATTTTTAAATATTTTATATTTTGCTTTTTTACATACTACAAAATAAGATCATATAATACCACTGAAACATTTAAAGAAATTTTCTTACCAAATACCCATAAGGTGAATTGAGGTAGCATCTTTAGGGTTCAGCT